GAGAGAGAGAGAGAGAGAGAGAGAGAGAGAGAGAGAGATTTTGGCAAACGTTGATCAAGAATCGAATAATATGGAGGTCGGTAGATAATTTCACTTAGCCAATCCAACGAAAGTCTACAATATTATTATTATTATGATAATTATTATGATAATTATTGTTATTATTATGATAATAATAATAATAATAATAATAATAATAATAATTATTATTATTATTATTATTATTATTATTGTTATTATTATTATTTCCTCAGCATGATAAGGAATAAAAGGTAAAAACAACAACAACAACAAATCCTCGGCTTTGTACGCGGGTGTGTGTGTGTGTGTGTGTGTATGTATGTGTGTGTGTGTGTGTGTGTGTGTGTGTGTGTGTGTGTGTGTGTGTGAGTGTGTGTGTGTGTGTGTGTGTGTGTGTGTGTGTGAGAGAGAGAGAGAGAGAGAGAGAGAGAGAGAGAGAGAGAGAGAGAGAGAGTGCGTGGGAGGGTGGGGGTAGTTGTTGTTGTTGTGTGTTTGTTCAGTTTGTTAAGTTTGTTTCTTCTTTGTTTCTAACACAACCAGGACGACGCGTCGATTGTCTCAAGATCCACAAAGCGACACCATCACACGGCCACAATCGTGTGTCATCTGACTTTGCTGCTTACTTGACATACATCTAGTTCTTCTGGACCATGTGCTCATTAGACATTGCAGATTGAAAAGATTAATAAGATCTTGTTCCGTGCTTGTTAATGACAAACTTGAATAGATTAAGATCAGGTTCCGTGCTTGTTAATGACAAACTTGAATAGATTAAGATCAAGTTCCGTGCTAGTCACAACAGACTTGAATAGATTAAGATCATGTTCCGTTCTTGCCATTACAAACTTGAATAGATTAACTCATTGAAGACACAAACTCTGGTTATTCGAATATTTGAAGAAGCTAAACTTCGTTATCCATTTAGATTTTAAACAATATATTATTTTCTTTTTTTCTGAGCCCTAAAACGTAAAAAAAAATAATTCAGGATTCATATTGTGAAATGTTAAATCTCGTGTTTCTGGTTTGTGTATGTAGGTTCAAAATGAGCCGCAACATTGGCTTTGATCAGTTTCTGGTGGGACAAATGTGTCCGATACGTCCCTAAAGAGTTAAGGACCATCTTCTGTGCATTGTTGAAGATCCTCCAGATTTCCTTCTGCTTGTTTGTCGCTCTAGTAGGCCCCTATGTCTCTGCTTTGATCGAGCCAGCTGAAAAACCTCGCAGTAGCCTAAATAAATACCTTATCAATTTTTGTTTTAATCAAAATGTCCATAAACCACAGAGTCAGAGCTAGTGTAACCAGACTCGAACCACCAACCTAACGACGTGGGATGTAATGTGTCTATAAAATCTGATCCTCCAGGGACAACTTATTTACTGTTTTCTTTTTTCAAAGTGCATTAACTAACTACGATTGATGTATTATTATTATTATTATTATTATTATTATTATTATTATTATTATTATTATTATTATTATTATTATTATTATTATTATTATTATTATTATCATTATTATTATTATTATTATTGTTATTATTATTATATTATTATAATTATTATGATTATTTATTATTATTATTATTATTATTATTATTATTATTATTATTATTATTATTATTATTATTATTATCATTATTATTATTATTATTATTATTATTATTATTATTGTTTTTGTTGTTGTTATTATTATTATTATTATTGTTTTTGTTGTTGTTATTTTCTTCTTCTTCTTCTTCTTCTTCTTCTTCTTCTTCTTCTTCTTCTTCTTCTTCTTCTTCTTCTTCTTCTTCTTCTTCTTCTTCTTCTTCTTCTTCTTCTTCTTCTTCTTCTTCTTCTTCTTCTTCTTCTTCTTCTTCTTCTTCTTCTTCTTCTTCTTCAAATATTGTTGTTGTTTTTGCTGTTGTTGTTGTTTCTTTAAATTCTTTTTTTTCGAGAAGCAGTATGTCAAACGTAACTGTTGTCAGAAGCCCGAAGCGTGATATATATATATATATATATATATATATATATATATA